TCCTGCTCCTGCTCCTCCCCCTCCCCCTTCTCCTCCTCCTCCTCCTCCTCCTCCTCCTCCTCCTCCTCCTCCTCCTCCTCCTCCTCCTCATTCCTCCTCGACGGACGGAGGCAGCCCCAGGTCTTCTCCTCGAACAGGCCCCATCTTCGCGACGCTCGCGGCCCCCTGCCCCTCAACCTCTGCCCTGGCCCGCGCGGTCGGGGGTGGGGAGGCGCCGCTGCGGCCGGAAAGGGGGTCTGAGCAGGGGGAGCGGATCCGGCTGGCCACCGCCCGCCACGCGGGCCGATGGCGGCATGCTTTTTCGCGGGATGTTCCTCCTCCTCCTCCTCCTCCTCCTCCTCCTCCTCCTCCTTTTCCTCCGCCTCCGCCTCCGCCTCTGCCTCCACCTCCTCCGCCTCCGCCTCCACACGAGGTCCGCTTGGGTCTGTTGAGACTGGGAGGGCCCCCCTGCCTTGTCTGTGGCAATCACATCAGGCTTCCAGCTGTGCGAGACCGACAGAATCAGAAACTGGATGCGTCCGGGTTTAGGGTGGCGTAGGGGATCTTGGCCGTCCTGGGCCTCTGGTGGGCCCTTATTGGCCCGTGTTGGAGGCAGTCCGCTCTTGGGCCGTTTTTGGTGCTTCTTGACGCTGGTCGCTGGCCGATTTGGGCCGTCCTGGGGCCCTGCTGGGCCACCTTGTGGCCTGATGTGGCTTTCTGGGCCGTTTTCTGGGTCTCCCAGGACCGTCTTGGCGCCGCCTGGGGGTCTGATTTGGTTATCTTGGGCCGCATTCAGCAGCTCTTGGGGCCCTGAGAGGGAGGGGTCGTGGGGCCCTCTTGGGCTGTCTTCTGTTGCCCTCTGGGCCTCCTTGACCGTTAAGAAAAGCGTGCAATGGGGGCCATGAGAACAAGGCCTGGTTTCCATTGTTTGGGCATCTGGGTGGTCTGTTGAGGGTCCTTGTGAAGGTCTCCTGGGGCGTCGTGAGCCGTTTTGACTGTGCCTGGGGGCCCGCATGGGTGCTTTTGGACGCTCTTGAAGCCATTTTGGAGGCCTCTTGGGCTAAGCTCGGTACTTAAAGGGTTGTTTGGGGGCCATTGGCCGTTGGGATCACGCGACAAGTCGGCAGCAGGTCGGCAGATACGGCGTGTCCCTTTGGTGGGGAGTCGGGGGCAGTGACACTACAGTTGCGCCGATCATTTAGAAACCTCCCGTCTTCTCCTTGGACTAGCGTTTCGTCGGCAGCTTCCAGAAAGCTGGCCCAGTTTCTTGGCCCCCTGCGAATCCGCAGGGCTGCGCGCTCAAGGCTGAATCGGCGCTTGCTCAAAAGTTGATCCGACAGTTGGTCCAGGTGTCTTCGGTCAGCAGCTTCGTATTCATCGCATTGGTACGCTTACGCTTCGGGTGATACAGGCCTCGGAAGAAGTCAGCGCATGCCACATTCGTCTGTCAATGCCCCCCCTATGATCAATGTTGGCGGTGGGTTGAATGAGCTGCACTTCGACCACGGTCTCCCCCGCGCGTGCCAGCTTTGAGATTGGGGCAGCAGGGAAGTGTCCACTACTTGTTTCCCCCGACCGTAAGTCGGTTGTGTGGAAGGGGCGGCATGGGCGCACGCACACCACCTCGCCTCGGTCCTGCAGGCCCGAGGTGCCTGGGGCAGAGGGGGATGGGGAGGGGCGGATCCTCGCGCGCCGAGCGCCCCTCGGGGTCGGCGGGCTACTGCAGCGGCCACGGCTCCTGCGCTGCCTGCCGAAGCGCCCCCGGGTGCTTCTGGTGCAACCAGATCGGGATGACGCCCTACAGCACAGGCCTGTGCCTTCCCGCTGGGACGCCCGCCAGCTGCACGTGGATGGCTCCCAACTGCGGCTCGGGCTGGCCATGGTGGTGGTGGTGGATCCGGTGGCCCATTCGCATCTGGGTCAGGGCGGACCACTTGGTGGCCTTCACGGGAGACGAATTAGTGAAGAATGCTTTCGTGCGCTCCGCGAGCCGGATGTCCCAGATGGTTGCCCTCCCGGCCAGCGCCGACGTAAGCGTCGAGTTGGTTCATGTTGAGAAGGGAGCTCGTCACGTGGGCGCCTCGGCCGAAAGTCTGCACCGCACGCTGGCGCTGCTGAAGGAGGAGCCCGTGACGGATGATATGGACGAGGTTGAGGTGAGCATTTTCGGAAGAAGAGGAGGAGGAGGATGAGGAGGAGGAGGAGGAGGAGGAGGAGGAGGGGGAGGAGGGGGAGGAGGGGGAGGGGGAGGAGGAGGAGCAGGAGCGGGAGCAGGAGGAGTAGGAGGGGGTGGAGGAGGGCGAGGAGGAATGGGGAGGACGAGGAGGAGCGGGCGGAGGAGGGGGGGGAGGAGGCGGGCGATGAGGAAGAAGGAGGAAGAGGCTGGATCTCCCCTCCGTCTTCTTTTTTCTCCCTCCCGATCCCTCCCTGCCCTGAAGCAGGTCGTCCTCGCCAGCGGTCGTCCTCGCTGCGGTCGTGCTTGCCGTTCTCTTCGCCCGGTCATCTTCCCACCCCGCCCTCCTCGCTTGGTCGTCATCGCCCGGTCGTCTTCGCCAGCCGTCTGCCCGACCGACTTGCCGCCCCGCTCAGTCGATCCGCCCGTCATGGGGGTCCGCCCGCTCGCTTGCCTGCCAGACAGCCCGCCCGGTTTGACGTCCAGCCCGCCCGCCCCGCCCACGAGAGCCCGCCCGCCCGCCCCGCCCACTGCTTCCTCTGGGGTCCGCCCGCCTGCCCCGCCCGTGAGGGCCCGCACGCCCGACAAGCCCGCGTGCGCCCGCTCGCTTCGCCGACCAGTCAAGAGGACAGAAGGCGAGGACAACCACCGGGGGAGGCGACTGCCAGCGAGGACGAGTGCCGGCGAAGCCGCCTCCTGGCTCGCGCCACCCTTGACGATTACTCGGTGTGAGCACTCTCGTCTCTCCCCCGACTGCGTGCTAAAGTTCCCCCCCTCCAGGATTCGATCACGCACAGAACTTCAATCACTTTTTTTGTGCGTTCCCCATGTATTTTCGATCAAGACGCTATCGGTGTTTTTGAACGGTGTTCCCGCTACAGCGCGGGCCTGATTTCAGGATCGGCGCTTTGTTCCCGTCCTTCAGACGGACGCTCTCCCCACTGTGCGGGCAATTTTTATGTATCGGAGCCCTGCTCATCGTCGTCGCTCTGCTCCATTCCCCTCCTCCGCCTTCCCTGGCCCTCCTGCTCCTCTCGCTCCTCCCACTGCTGTTCCTCCTGCTTCTGTTCATCTTGGTTCTCCTCCCCCATTCCTCCCACTCCTCCTCCGCATGTAGACGTTTGCTCCTCCTCCTCCAACTCCTCCTCCTCCTCCTCCTCCTCCTCCTCCTCCTCCTCTTCCCCCCTTCTCCTGCTGGTTATCATACTCATCCGCCCCTTCCTCCTCCTCCTCCTCCTCCTCCTCCTCCTCCTCCTCCTCCTCCTCCTCCTCCACTGTGCACAGCCTCCCTTTTCTTCCGATTGTGCTTAACACGATGCTAACCGTTAGGGGGTTCCAGATCCGCTATTGCACCCCTCGGCGAACAGATAAACAAATCAGCGCAATGGGAAGGGAAGGGCCGAAGGGAAGGGTCGGAGGGGTAGGATGTCAGATATATGGCGCGAGCGCACCAAGCTTGCTTCCCCTCCTCTCCTCTCTCCTCCCGCTCCCCTTGTCTCTCTCCCTTCCCTCTGTCGGGAACGCGACAGCTACGTACGCGTCCACGAAGCCACTCTTGGCGTCGAGAGAGCATATCACGCGAGCGTTCATGGCGTGATGCCGGCCTCGCGAACTCGGGCACATATTCGCACGTGGCCGGGCGCGCACGTCGTTTGGGGGCTCCCTATCTTCTCACTCCCCAGGCCCCCGGAGAAGCGGGAAGGGGAGACAAACAAACGTACAAAGCATTGCCGAAAGCGTCCCGAAACTTGTTCGATTCTTGCGGATCGGGAGCAAAGCTTAGCAGTGAGGAATGGCAGGTGACCTACTCGGTGCGCGTCCCGGGTGACGAGAGCGGCTTCGGGCAGGAGCAGGCCGACTCTCTCGTGGCCGAGTTGCAGAAGGTCTCCCCGGAGGAGTATACGAGGACTTTTCTGGAGGAGCTGAGCAGTGCAGTAAGGGGGGTCACCGCCTCAGTAATTATTCGGGGCAAGCCCGCATCGGCTTCCAGGGAGAGGGTCGGGGTTCCTCGGGCCTCTGGATGGGTCTTCCCCACAGGAGTTCCTCGCACGTCTGGGCGCAACCCAGGCCCGAAGGTGGCTGGGTTCCTTCTCCGGGATTTCTCGTGTCCAGGCCGCCCATGGCGGCAAAAAGAGCCGAAGCAGATGGGGTCGGTTGATCACGCCGCATCGCCGATGCTTCGGCTATGCGGCTCGGTATGGACCCCGATTCTTCTCACGCCGACGTCGCCGATGCATCTCCGACGTCGCCAGTGCATCGCCAATGCATCGGCGACGTACGTGCGATGCGGAACGATCCTCCGAGCCCAACCCCATTACTCGGGCCCCATGTTGGCGGCCTCCACGGTGGCAAAGCTTGCGCCCGTGATGCTCTCCAGAGGGAGCCGCGAGCTCGGGCCCGTGCGGAAGTGTGGGTGTCGCTCGGGGGGGCTGCTCTCACGGCCCTGACATGGCCGGCGGAGTGCGACGGCTCGCCATGTCGGGGGCAACGATCCGAGGGGGTGAGGAGATGGGCGTAGGGGGGGAGGCATCGAACCCCCCCCGTCGCCCACTGATCGCCGGCGGGGGCCCGAGGGCCCCAACCCGCCCAGAGGAAGGCGCGGTCTCGCCATCGGGGGCCAAAAGCGCCGATCAGTCGACGATGTACCTCGCCGACTCCAGGTCGATGCCTCCCCCCATGTGCCAGTTCCCCCCCTATCGTTGCCCCTCAGCCATGGGTGCCCCCCCCCCCCCGCACCACCACACTAACACACAGAGCACAGATTGAGGGGGGGCCGCCACGCCCTCCCGAGGACAGGGGATCGGGGAGGGGGGAAGGGGGGATGGGTCGTGGAACGAGTGGGGGCTTTGGTGGCGCGCTCTGGGCTGCTCTCGGGGAGTGCGTGTGGGGGGTCACGGGTGTCCTCCTGTCCCCCCCCGTCTGGAGGGGTTCTTCGAAAGGCTTAGGCGACCCGTCCTCCTCGTCCTCCTCCATCTCCTCCTCCCCCTCCCCCTCCACCTCCTCCTCCTCCTCCTCCTCCTCCTCCTCCTCATCCACCTCCTACTCCTCCTCTTCCTCCTCGTCCTCCTCCTCCTCCTCCTCCTCATCCTCCTCCTCCTCCCCCTCGGGTCGCCTACGGCCCCTGGGGAAACCGTGCACCCCCCCCTCCTCAGGAGGAGATCGCGATTACCCCCCCTCCTCCCAGTAGTGGCTCCGCCTGTTGGCACTGCCTGCAGGAGCTCGAGCAGCTCGCCACTGGGCACTCGGCGCCCTTCGGCGTGGAGACGGTGACCGGCTTCTCCACGACCGCATCCGTGACCACCGCGACGGCGTCGCCGACGGCGTCCCCCACGCCGAGTCCGACGCCGAGTCCGTCGCCGAGTCCGACGAGGAGCCCGACAGTGAACCAGGACTTCTTCACGTATGCCGGCGTGACCGTCTACACCCGGCTCGCAGTCGGTGCTGACCCTGACGGGGAGCGCCCGTGGATGATGGTGCTGCAGGGCGATGCTTCGGACAAGGAGCTGAAGCAGATTAGCCAAGAGTTCTCGAACGGGGTGCAGACCTATCCAGATATGGGCCAGGTGCCGTTCGTGTTTGGCAGTTTGACAGAAGATGGTCTGAGGGCGCTGCTGGACAAGTACCCAGGCCGTGTAAAGTCTGTCCAAGAGGACCAGTTCATGAAGATGGTCGACGACCCCGAGCTCACCAATGGAAAAGACAGACAATCGGACCGGCGGACATACCCATGGGGCATCCAGTACGTCCAAGCGGACGTGGTCCGGGGGCGGGGCGTAGGGGTGCATGCGTACGTGCTGGACACTGGCATTCGCATTACCCACAACGAGTTCGGCGGCCGGGCCTTCGCTGGAGTGGACCTGACAACCCCAGAAACGTATCCCGGCACCCTCACAGTGTGTTCGCCCACCAGCACAACATGTGCCAACGACGTACATGGGCACGGCAGCCATTGCTCAGGCACCGTGGGGTCCTCATCATATGGTGTCGCGGATGGCGCGAGCATCTGGTCCATGAAGGTCCTGAACAATGCTGGCTCCGGCTGGACAACATGGATGGTTATGGCCGAGCAATGGATTCTGTCGTCTGGGAACAGGCCAGCAGTGGTCAGCGCAAGTATCCAAGTCGGGCCCAACTGGAATGATGCGCCGTGGCAGGCTTCGACCGACGCCCTTGTAGCCGATGGCGTGGTCGTTGTGGTGGCTGCAGGGAACTCAAACCAAGACGCGTGCACCTGGACTCCAGCTTTTATTCCCAACGCGATCACTGTAGCAGCGTTTGGAGGGACTTCGGGCAGCTCGTGGGACAGGTCTGGGTACAGCAACTGGGGCTCATGCATTGATGTATATGCTCCGGGCACGAACATCCTGTCAGTGGGCCCATCCAGTGACACCCACACCTACTACAACACAGGCACGTCCATGGCCTGTCCACACGTTTCCGGGCTAGCGGCCAGAATGTTCGAGGCTTACCCTACGGCGGGGTCCATGACCGCCGCACAGAGGTGGGATCTCCTGATGGCCAATAACTGCACTGGGTGTGTGACCAATGACGCGACCCCCACTCCTACTGTCAACCTGGTGCCCTACGCCATCCCAGCGAACCCGTGCTCTGTCACCGACGGATCGGGGCCGAGCGCGAGCTACCCGTGCGACTGCGGCACCAACATATGTTCGGCCAGCGAGGTTTGCACCAGCAGCACAAATACCTGCGCTGGCGCACCCCCGACGATTGCTCCTACAGCAACCCCAACTCCCTCGCCGACTTCATCGCCTTCAGGTGCGCCCACGCCATTGCCTACGTCCTCGCCGACGCCCTCGCCATCTCCCTCGCCAACGCCCTCGCCCACGCCGTCGCCCTCGGCCGGACCAACGCCTTTGCCCACGCCCTCGCCAACGCCCTCGCCTACGTCCTCGCCGACGCCATTGCCCACGCCCTCGCCGACGCCCTTGCCTACGGCGTCGCCCTCGCCCTCGCCTACGCCCTCGCCGACGCCCTCGCCCACGCCCTCGCCCTCGCCCTCGCCTACGCCGTCGCCCACAGGTGCGCCTACGCCAGTGCCTACGCCCTCGCCCACGGCCTCGCCGACGCCCTCGCCGACGCTCTCGCCCACGCCGTCCCCTTCCCCCGGGCCCACGCCCTCGCCCACGCCCTCGCCGACGTCCTCGCCAACGCCCTCGCCCTCGCCCTCGCCAACGCCGTCGCTAACAGGTGCGCCTACGTCAGTGCCCTCGCCCTCGCCGACGCCCTCGCCGACGCCCTCGCCGACGCCCTCGCCGACGCCATCGCCGACGCCGACGGCCAACTTTTGCGCAGGCGTGACCAGCACCTCCTGCTCCGACTGCGCGGCGGTCCGACGGGCAATCCAGGCCTCCGAGATGGGGTCCGCGCAGATGGCGCCGGAGAATCGCGCCGCATCGCCGACGCCTCGGCGAGACGCCTCGGCCACGCGGCTCGATGCGGGGCCTGATTTTCTCCACGCCGACTGCGCCGATGCGTCGCGATCCTCCGAACCCTACATTCTCGGACCCCACTTGGGAGGCCTCTGGACAAAGCGCCACCTGCGAGCATCCCTCGCCGGTGCCGCTCTTCTTCCCACCTCCCCGCCCCTTGACATGGTATTCCCCAAACGTGGTGGCGACAACACACGGCGGTGAGTCTCGGGCGATTTGGTGTCACCACCCGGTTTGGGGACTCGTTCGTGAGGTTCTCCGAGGATGTCACATGTCCCGAACGCTGGTTGGTCCAGGAGTCACTAAACCCGGCGGTGACCCCGGGTTCCAAAACCCGGCGGTGAGACTTTTGGGGGATTCCAGGTCACCACCTGATATCTCACCACCTGGTTTGGGGGCTCACAATTGACGATGGGCTGGCGGCAGCAGTAGCAGTGCCAAAACGCGCCCAGAGTCCAGCAAGGCATGAGGGTGCAAGCCCGACTTGTCTGGCTTGTGCTCTTGGGGGACCTGTGCTCAGGGGAGGCTGCAGCACCGCTTAACGATGTGCTGTTTAACCGAAGCTGCAGGGTGGGTCCTTTCCCTGATCTGTGCCTGGTGCGGACGTTCTGCGCGCCTCGTCTCCTTCGTCGTTGTCGGCTTCGTCGTGGCCGTGGTGCGTGTTGCTCTGCTCGGGACTCGTGGCCCTTCTGCAGCGACCGCCGCCTCCGCCACGCCCCCGGGGGCCAGGGGGGCGGGCGGGCTGGGGGGCCCAAGCACGGTGAGTTGGGGGGAGCAGCCCCTCCGGGCGCAGGTCGGCAGATCGGAGGCGACCAAGGGGGGGGGGGGGATGACCATGGGGGGGAGTGGAAGTCACCCTAGGTTCAGTGGCGCCTCTTCTTGTTTCAGTGCCTGTCCATGCCCCCCCCCTGGGCCGACTGATACTTATTTGATTTTGTGGGAAGATGCTCGCTTTCGACGGGGACCGCCAGACTACCTCTCAAAGAGGCTGCGCGAGCGAGCCTTCAGGCGATTACGATGAAAAGAAAAACCTGGGCAGCGCATACCGCTGTTGGTTTTCAAAGCGCCCATCCACAGACGTTGCTTCGACGGTGCCGCCCCCGGACTCCCCATTTCAACGTTGCGTTCGCGGCCGCTGTCGGGGCGCAAGCATCGGCAAAACGATAAGCCAAACTCCACCGCCAAGGCAACCTCGCTTTCAACCTTGAGATTGAGGGGTACGGGGGTTCTGAACACAGCAGCGTTGTCCATGATGCCTGGTGGGCGTTTTTTTTTACGCCAACGGCGGTATCATATGTTTTATAGTTGTTTCTGTTCTTGCTGCTGCCGCTGCTGTTGTTGGTATTGTTGTGATTGTCGTTGTTGTTGTTGGTGATGTTGTTGCTGCTGTTGTTGTTGTTGCTGTTGGTGCTATTGTTGTTGGTGGCTGTTGTTATGTTGTTGCTGTTGTGATGAATGTTGTTATGACTGGTGTTGTTGCTGTTGTTGGTGGTGGTTTTGTTGCTGCTGCTAGTATTGTTGCTGTTGCTATTGTTGTTGCTATGGTTGTTGGTGTTGCTGGTGTTTGCGTTGTTGTTGCTGCTGTTGTTGTTGCTGTTGTTGTTATTGCTGTTGTTGTTGCTGTTGCTGTCGCTGTTGCTGATGATGTTGATGTTGTTGTTGTTGTCGTTGTTGTTGATGTTATTGTTGCTGCTGTGATTATGGTGTTCGTTGGTTTGCTTGTTGTTGTGCTTTGTTTGTTGTTTGTTGTTTGTTGTCGTCGTCCCGCCCGCCACGCGGCCCGCGGCCCACCCGCGACCCACCCGCGGCCCACCCGCGACCCACCCGCGACCCACCCCGCGACCCGCCCGCGACTCGCCCGCGACCCTCCCGCGTCGTCTGCTTGCTTCTCCCCTCCCCGTCCCCTTCCAAACAGCACCGCGTGCCCGGGACCAGCGTGGCGTGGCGGCATGTAGGGGCTTCGGCAGGAGGGCCTGTCGTGTCCTTGTTGCTCAAGTGGTTCGGAGTTCCGAGGAGCCGCACTTGGCGTCCGATTTGCCCCCTCACTCTCAGCCGCAACTGCAGGGTGCTACGTACGCCTGGGGCCACGACCTGCGAGCCCCCCTCCTGGGCGCCCCCCTCTCCCGGACGCCCAAAAGCAGGGGGGCGCGCTGCCTGCCGAGAGGGGCCGACGGACGCCCCGCCCCTCGCGAGGGGGGTTGAGGCGGCAGCGCCAGGGCCCCCGAGACGTGCTCTCCTCGTCCTCCTCCTCCTCCTCCTCCTTCCTCCTCCTCCTCCTCCTCCTCTTCCTCCTCCTCCTTGTCCTCATCCTCATCCTCCCTCCTCCTCCTCCTCCTCCTCCTTGCCCTCGTCTCTTCCTCTTTGAGTACGTGCGCTCCTCCTCCTCCTCCTCCTCCTCCTCCTCCTCTCCTCCTCATCATCATCATCATCATCATCCTCATACTCTCCTCTTCCTCATCCTCATCCTCATCCTCCCCTCCCTCTTCTCCTCCTCTCCTCCTCCTCCTCCTCCTCCTCCCTCCTCCTCCTCCTCCTCCTCCTGGCCAGGACCACGAGACGCGCGAGGTGCCTGCAGGGGCTGGAGGGTCCGACGCAGTCCAGACCAAGAAGCCTGCTTGGCGGGTGCGACGGCAGGAGCTCCTGGAACGGATGCAGCGAAGGCAGCAGCATCTGCTAGCCGAACGTGGTCCAGCAGCCGCCAGCGGCGCGCAGCGTGATGAGGGAGACATGGCCGACGGCAGCTTGCCCTCGGCCTATGGAGCGCACCAATGCCCCGACGGGGGCACCACTGGACTGGTGACGCTCCAGCCGCCGCCAGCTGCCCCAGACGTGGGGGTGGTCGATGCCTGTCTGGCGGCGGGGCCGTCGCGGCTGCCTGCGCCCTTGAGGTGTGACCTGGCACACGAGGTGACGCTGACCACGGACCACCAGGAGGGCGCCGTGACCAGCCCTCAGGACATGAGCAGCCCGCCGCAGCCGTTCTCGACTACCGATATGGCCAGCACCAGGGGTGGCAGGGGACCTGCAAAGTGCGGTCGCGAGTGCGGCCCCGCCCTGAGTGCTGGCAGGTCTGACAACTCGCAGCGGGCGCTGCCAGGCATGGCCAGTGACAAGGGTGGCAGGAGGCCTGCAAGCCGCGACCCTGAGTGCGGCCCCACCTTGGGCACTGGCGGCGACGGCAGCCAGGCCCACCGCGTGCGGCGACGATTTACGGCCTGGGCCAGGGGTGGCAGGGGACCTGCAATGTGCGTGCGTGAGTGCGGCCCCGCCCTGAGCCCAGGATGCGACGAGGACCGCGACGGCAAGGGTATGGCCAGCGCCAGGGGTGGCAGGGGACCTGCAAAGTGCAGTCCTGTGTGCGGCCCCGCCCTGGGCACTGGCAGCGGGTCTCTGGAAGCGGCGTCGCCTGAGGAGGACCAGCGGCAGCCGCAGCTGGCTTCTGGGGAGGCGTGTCCACGTGCAGCTACGGCTGGTGCCAGGGGTGGCAGGGGACCTGCAGTCTGCGGTCCTGAGTGCGGCCCCGCCCTGAGCACCAGCACCCACCCCGAGCGGCGACGGATTACGGCCTGGGCCAGGGGTGGCAGGGGACCTGCAATGTGCGTGCGTGAGTGCGGCCCCGCCCTGAGCCCAGGAAGCGACGCGGACCGCGACGGCATGTGCATGGCCAGCACCAGGGGTGGCAGGGGACCTGCAAGTGCCGACCGTGTGTGCGGCCCCGCCCTGAGTGCTGGCAGAGTTGCGGTGGCTCGGCCTGAGCCAGCGCAGCCGAGGCGCAGCGTCGCGCCCAGGCTTGAGCTGCAGGTCGCTGGATGGGCGCGGTACTGGACCCAGGCTCCCGAGGTCGGCGAGACGATGGAGTGCCACAGCGAGTGGCTCGACCACTGCGTCGGCTACGTCACGCAGATCCTGTCCCAGCCGCGCTTCGCCACCAGGCTGCGGGCGCGTGGGAGGACGGCCGAGGAGATGGCCGAGGAGATCTGCGAGCGGGCCTGGGGGACTGGCATGCCCGCGAGGCGGGCCTACTACAGGTGGCGCCACACGCTGACGCGGTCGCAGAGGATCGTGTCGGACTGCATGCGGCGCTACGACTACGTGTGCCTGCGGACGTGGCTGGCCGAGCTGCGGCGGGAAGGGCAGCCACCGCCCATTGGCCCGCTCAGAGCGCCTTCGGTGCCGTGGAATGCGGGACGCAGGAGGCGACGGAGAAGTGGTTGAGGGTCGGCCTCTCCTGGCACGGGCAGCCGCTGCGTGGCGCTCTGGCCCCAGCGGCTCGCCGCACGGCGCTGCGCGGCGGTCTGGCCCCAGCGCGCCGCCCTTCGCGTCCGTCGACGTGATCGGCATCACTGGCCTCCCCTGAGGCTGCGGCCCCCTGGCCGCCTGTGCTGCGTCTAGTTGGCCTGGCCGACGCGACGTCCTGCCGCTGCTCTCCGCTGCCTCCTCCTCCTCCTCCTCCCTCCTCCTCCTCCTCCTCCTCCTCCTCCTCCTCCTCCTCCTCCTCCTCCTCCTCCTCCTCCTCCTCCTCCTCCTCCTCCTCCGTAGCCATTTTGGCTCAAGATGCCTAGTTCCACAGGGGAACAAGTGGATACCGCTAGTCCGCGGCCAGTGCCAGGGCTCTTGAGCCCGACAGCTTTGTTCAACTCTCCGTGTGCCTCCTGCAGCCCGCAGGTGAGCTCTCTCTGTTCCTCAGCCCGTCCATGGCGCCTCCGCAGCAGCGCAGCGCCTACGTCAAGTGCTACTCCTGCTCGTACGCCTGGAACTGGAAGACCAAGCAGACGTGCTACTGGTGCAGCAAAGCCTTGGCGCCGTGGACAGATACCCCGCCTCCAGTTCAAGGTGCTTGGGCGGCCCGCGCCACAGCCGCAGCCCAGGCCGAGTCCAACTGCACCCAGCAGCCCAGC